AAGGTTTTTGCAAATATAAGGTACTTGAGAGTGTATTTTCCCCAGCTGGTATGAGAGATAAAAAATTTAAATTTATCAGAGCATCAGATTGTTTGAACATGAATACATAAATTTTTAAAGGCTAGAGAAATACAAACGAGAGTTGATATGACCTGAATTTTTCCCTGGACGCTGAACACGGTTTACACTTCAGCTGGGCATCGGGGGACCCTCGTACTTCGCAGTCACACTTAATGCTGCTGGAACCCGCATGGAGGTGGCTCAGATGTCCCAGGGCAGCCGGTTAGACCGCCTCCTTCTGAGCTGAGCAGCTCCAGCAGGAGAGCGAAGGGCAAGTGGGCTCTCCGCTGTGAGTATCATGGGCTACTAACTTGGAAAGAAAAATTCGATGAAAAATAAAAGAGACAAATGAGAAATTTGCTTTAATTGGGAACTAATGGACTGAAGAGACAGAATCTTTTCTGAATTCTGATTAAAACATATTCCTAGGCACATTTTGCCTTTTTGTGGAATTCGATCTGGAAATGAGGAGAGAGCGCACAGTAAGTCATCGCCAGAGTTGGCCTCAGTCCCACCAGGGATGGAAGGTTCCGAGGGAAAACGCTGACAGGGACACCGGGGGGCCCTGCCTTAGCGAGCGCGTCCCTCTCGATGCCTGGTCTCTCCCCCTGGGCTCTGCTCGGAAATGCAGTCATTACTGAAAAGAACCAACTCAGAACATATTCAGCTGCAACGAACAGTAAGCATTTACAGAGTTATGTATTTGTAAAACCTATCATGTATTGAAGAAGCAGTATGATATAATTCAGAAATAATCGTTGAAAGTAAGACACCTTGATCAAGCAATGAACAATAAATCATCCCATTTTAATTGAATATGTAGAATTTAATAGAATCACGTGCTCCCCACAAAATGGAAGATATAATAAGATGAACGTCAACCTGCCTTCCACTTGTTTATGGTCCAGCAGGAAGGACACGCCTGGGACAGGGAGTCACAAGTACATTGTTTGGCTAAGTCAGTGACCTCCTGAGAGGCGGCCCACATCGGGCAGGATGCGGGGCTAGGCTGTCAGAGTGCACAGGAGCGACTCTTCCTGAAGAGGGCGCTTTGCCTCTGCCCGCGGGTGCTGCACGGCCAGTCTGCACCCTTAGCGCCGTGTGCAGGGGTGGCCCGGCTGGCCCAGATTCCTGGCACCGACGACTGTTGAATAAGGAGACACCTGTGGCCGATGCGGGCGGGGGTAGCTTCGTGGACTGTGGTTGGGTGGATATTGAGGGAGACTTGAAATATTGCAGGATTTGGGGTCCTTGGTAGTGCCAGGTATTCTGCATCCGTTCTGGAGCTGCGAGGACCCCCTCTCTCACCCAACCCCATTTCCAACATCACCACAAACAGAGAGACAATGATCATTTGCCCCAAACTCTACAAGGCTCTTTTGAACAAGCAGAGTTTTAACTACACGTTGAGTTTTGACCTTCATTTTATCCAGAGGGGTTCCTCCTTTGTGCTTTCTCTGAGGACACACCGTAAAGGAGACACTACTGCTGGCCTTCGGCTGCTCTTGGCAACCAGAGTCAGGAGCAG